TACTTTCATACGAAATGAAAGTCCCCACAACAATATTAAAATCTAAACAAACAACTATTTGTATATTTTTAATCGTTTCCATCTCATGCGAGGGCCTCAGTTTAGGGGCACCTTCGAGCGGCCCCTGAAAAAACGCTAAAGAATTTCCAATGGTCTGCTTTAAATACAGTTGATCGCATAATTATGCATAGTGTAGCACGCCTGGTAGCCTGCAAATCATACTCAGTGAACAAGAGCTAGGATTTGAGAGTATGAAAACATTAGACATTGAACAAATGCGCTCCTAGACAGAATGGCAGATTAGCTCGGACATTGTTCCGTTTGTATCTAGGCTCTAGAATAATGAAACAGGGTCCAAAATAGTACTGCTTTGTTTATTTATGTGTTTTTTATTTTTATGTGCGTATGTGTGCCGAAGTGTATATGTCCTGATGGTGATTACAATTTACTTTTAAAGGTGAGATCGTGTCTATTTTTGGCCAGTGGATAGGGATAGTCAAATTGGTATATATGATAAATAGTCAGGTTGTGAAAATTCTCCTCATAGTTTCATGTCGCTGAATCTGCCATTTTTTAAACACAAATTTGAGAGGGAAGAATTTGTAGCCTAGTCTCGCTCAAGACCTATGGTCCCTTGTCAAGGAACGAAGACCTCTATGCTCAAACCGAAAGTCTCAACTCCAGAGAAATCCTCCTACGGCATGTCATGAGGCATGATGGGGTCAAAATAGGTCTTCATAATCCTAAAAATACCCTTTTGTATTCCAAGGCTGAGAAAAGGTATGCATATGCAGTTTAAATATCAGTCCGGCCACTCGTCTGAGTGTGTACATCAAAATGCTTGTGCATATGCACGGGGAGTCGTAGTATGCCGCTAACTTGTCGTTTCTAGACAACTCTTTTGGTACAGCTACTAGTCGGCACTTCGAGGAGGCAGGGGGACAAAAAGATAAAGCGAATTAGCTCTATCCTAAGCCGAAGCATAAATAAATTTCGGCCTTATTAAATGCATTCATTGATATTTTCCAGGTCCTCTATTGAATGATGCCGCTTGGGCTTGTTCTTCATGACGATGCAGTTGCTCCGGGACATTTCACCCGCCATACCATTGCAGTCACAGGTCTTGCAACTAACCATGACTCCAGGGGTCTCGGAGTCTGGTGCAGAGATGGCAGCGGAAATATGCCTATTGTGGGAAAAAAACCGAACTATCAGCCCTTAAAGCACAGTAGGCCATCAAGGCTGAGTAAATTCTTATTCAAGAATTACTTATAATCTCAATGGCTACTCATATCGAAAGTGAGTAATGTTGCCGGGTGCAATGACAAACACATGTTTGCCCTAACGTATATCTCACTATACAAATGGGAATTGGGAGAGGCCTGGCTTGCAACAAAGGGCGCCAACGTGGCCACAATACTCAAGACTCGAGTGTGAATCCTGCCGAGTGTGCGAATGAGGCACACTGAGGCGTAGAGACTAAGAGTCGCTTAATATGATTTACGAAATGACATTTGATGTTTATCACAATGAGATGAAGAGGCCTCATAATATCATCGAATTTCACTTAGCCTTGCCTCCCGAATGACCATCTCTTCCAAAGTAGACTACAGTCTCGACTTGGCCTAGGCCTTGTCAACACCCACAGCGGGATTCGATGCCGAGTCGTGGGTAGTTTGGCGATATTATCATTCCATTACGCTACACGGCCACGAGTGCCAGTGGGTCACAGGGCGGATACTACATTCAAGGCAGGCCAGACCTCTCCGGATTCACATTTTAATGGTGGGATTGCCGGTTAAGCAAACATGTGTTTGTCAATAGAAATCAACGACGCTACTTATTTTTTATATAAGTAGTTTACTAGATTGTTAGAGGGACCTTCATTTGGTATGAAAGTGCATTAAGAAGAGATTCGTTGGTCGATCTCACCAGATGAGGACGGATGAAACTCGTTGTA